TAGTGGCAAAGAGGCTGAAACTATGCCAGCATAAAGTGTCCCATGCGCCTTGTCATCTAAAGGAGGCAGCCCAGCCAAGCTGTACAACCCCGGGAATGTGAGCACGAAACAAAACCATGTGGGATGAAGGTGGTAGGAAGGGCCTCTGCCAGTACATCCAGGAACTTCCCAAAGATCAGCTAACGCAGTGACTATCACCAAGGTTAAAGGCTTCTTTCCAAGCAGGCTGATACTGAAACTTCATTTCCGCATCTCTCTCTTGAATATAGTTAAATATCTTGTGAGTCCCTGCACACCCTTGACCCCATTTGCATCAGTCTTCTTTCTCATGTGACCATATCCCCAGCTTCCAGAAGAAGAAACGGAGCATCCAAGCAAACATGTTTCTATAGGTAGTCCTGGAGAGCTCCTTTCTCAATTAAAAAAAATTCTAGGCAGGTCTTAATATGAGGTCCTGGCTGGTCTTAGATTCATGATCTTCTTGACTTGGCCTCCTGGGCAATTGGATTGCAAGTGTACACAATCTTATTCAATTTGGTATCAATACCTTGTTCAGTGTTATAGGCACTGAATATAGAGCAGAGAGTAATGTAGATAAAATGCTATGTACAATGCATATTCTTTGGGAGAAGCAAATAATATAAAGGTATATAGTATCTCGGGGACAGACATTAAAGATAAAATAAGGAAAGTAATGGGGCCAAGCAGTCACCAGAGGAGGTGACATTTGTGCAAAAGACAATAAAAAGAAAGTGGCAGGACCCTGAGGGTATCTGCAAACTATCCCAGGCAAGGGAGACAGAATGAAACCCTAGAACAGGCCTTGAGAGGAGTGAAGGATGGGGAGACCAGCAGCAGGTGAGGTCAGAGACCTCAGGAGTGAGAGTAGATTAAGTGCTGACTTTGGGGCATGGTCATGGCTTGGTGTTTTTTCCAGAGCAGAAAGCAAAGGCTGTCTTCTGAGAAGTGTGGGCTTGCTTCGAGACGACACTTCAGTTGTCTTGTTAGTAGAAAAGGGAAGGGGTGGAAGGCTCTTGTAGTAGTCTGGGTAAGAGGTGCTGGTGGCTGGGGACAGAGAGGAGATAGGGGGAAGATGAAAAGGAGTGATGTTCTGGATGCAGCTTGAAGGTGGAATGAAAAAAATTTTCTGGAAAACAAGTGGGTAGTAAAAGAAAGAAAGAAAGAAAGAAAGAAAGAAAGAAAGAAAGAAAGGAGTTTTGGATGACTCTGAGCTATTTTAACACCCTTTGGGCATCCCAGCAAATCTCAAATCTTCAAGTCTATGCTAATATTCTCAGAATGGTAGAAAGTATTTCAACATAAGGATACCATTAATAACGCAAAAACCTTTGCCCAAATTATCAAGGCTTTATTTATTTGTTTAGATTTTTGAATATAATTTTCTTTATATATGTTTCTACTGGGGATGAAAAATGTCTTGTACAAATAACAAAGTTGGTTGTCTTAAGTTTGAGACAAAAGATGCTATTGTCTTGGGCCAAGATCCTTATGGGAGCTGTAAGGTGGAGCTTAGTGAGAAGGCTTGACTTAGGATATATTCTAAAGGTAGAGTCTAAGGGTTGTCAGGCTGGCCATATGGATAGAGAGAAATGAGGTGCGGGGAGGGGGAGACACTGGGACTGGGTCTGCTTCAGCTACTATGACAAAGTTATCATACACATCATGTAGACAGCTTAAGGGAAACAGAAGATCTCGGCTATAGGTTTCAGATGCTGTCTGATGATATTCTTAGCTTTGATGTTGGGGGAAAGCTAGGGATCTGTACATCCCAAAAGGACTTACTTAACGCTTACAAGAATTTTACATTGCATACAGGGGCGGGCAATAAATGGCTACTTAAGGGTTAAGATCGTCTATGATAATTTGGATCTGGATCTGCAACATTCAATCTCTCCACAATGATTGAAATATTAGACAGTCAATAAAACTTGTGGGATATTTAAGGGGGGTGTTCTTCTATCCCCAACACTGGGGCAATAACAACAGTAATATTAACAGGTAACAATAGAAAGACTGAGCAAGTCCTCGGACCTCCTATAAAAGTTCTGTCACTCATGAAGGCTCTGCTGTCACGTCCCAATGACTTACCAAACCCCCCATACCATCACACAGAAGGTTCCGAATTTTAAGAAGGTGTCTTCAAGCCACAACTGGAAGGAAGAGGAGAAAATTGGTGTTACAGGATGTTAGTGTACAAGCTAGGTTCATGGTGTGAGCATGGAAGCAGACCATTAGATGATTGTCCCATTTGTGGGAGGGTTCATTCAACAGTCACCTAGTGACGTCTTACTTATTCCAGGGACTCATCAGTGAAAAGGAGAGCAGAGATCCCAGATTCCAAGGGGCTTATATTCTAGAGTGTAGTGTGTGCCTGTGTGTGCCTCTGTATGTGTGTGTGTGTATGCTTGTGTGTGTGAGTGTTCACATGCATATGTCAGTGTGTGTATATTCAGATGACAATGGTACTAAAGAGGTGTGTGTGTGTGAGTGTAAGTGTGCCTGTGTGTGTATGTGCATGTGTGTATGTGTGTGTTCAGACAATAATGATTCTAAGGAGGTGTGTGTGTGTGTGTGTGTATGCTTTTGTGTGTGTGCACATGCGAATGTCAGTGTGTGTGTATTCAGATAATGGTACTAAGGAGGTGTGTGTATGTGTGCCTGTGTGTGTTCAGACGATAATGATACTAAGGAGGTGTGTGTGTGTGTGTGTGTGTGTGTGTGTGTGTGTGTGTTCAGATGCTAATGGTACTAAGGAGGCAGAGGAAATACCCAGGGATACATGGTTAGTTAGTTCTTAGAATTTAACTAGCATATGAGGTTTGTTACTTTGCTTATTTCTTTTTAAGAGCCCAAAGAGGTGGCACAGGTGACCCATACGTTTAATCCTAATACTTGGGAGGCAGAGGCAGGTGGATCTCAGTGAATTCTAGGTCAGTATGGTCTCAAAGAGAGTTCCAGGACAGTCAGGACTACTGTTACAGAGAGAAACCCTGTCTGGGAAATACCTCCATTTGAATATAATAAAATAGAATAGCAAGTACACACTTAGTACTCCTAGAGTCCCTGAAAGCATTAAGGCAAGCACCCTCAGGACAATCCTTGAGTGCTCCTCACAGGGATAGCAAGCAGTTTTAGCAAGTGGTAAGCTGTCCTCAGTCACCACTGCAAGTCACTAGGTTTAGACGTCTGCTCAGGATCACCTCTATTTAACCTGCTCAGGTTGTCCTCATTAGGGCTTTTCACTTAGAACACCACTGCAGCGATCATATACTGTATTTTTAGCATCTTATATAAACTTCCTTACAAATGCCTGTTATATAACCAGCCCCCTCCCCCCCAGGCTTTTCTCCAGCCTCTCCCAGATTTATGGTAGGGGTAAGCAGCTATGCGGGGGGGGGGGGGTTAGGGGATCCCTGGCCCAGAGGCTCATTCCACCTGCTCTGAGCAGGACTGAGTGTGCAGCAACAGCGTACAGTTCTCAAGACACGGTGCCCTCCCTTCCAGCCTTTTCCTTCTGTTCCATTTGCATCAGGTGTCATGCTGCTGTGTTCCTGAGCTTGGGAAACATTGTTCCACCAGTCATTGCTTTCACATAAACCTCTCTAGCTAGGCTCCCGGGGTAGAAGGCAGCTCAGAGCCGCTTCTAGTTTGTCCTCTGTGCAGATGGCAAATGGGAGCCAGTGAAGCAGGTGACCCCCCTCCCACAACCCAGGGAACACAGTCAGGACGAAGGGGTCCGAGTTCCCTCCCCTAGAAGACTTCCGTCAAGCCAGGAGTCTCTCAGCTCTGTTTTCCTATATAATGACTGAGACTTAGTAGAAGAGGGATTTTGAAGTCCTTTCTGTAGGTGTTTCACTTATAGAAACACTATTGGATATGGGCTGATAATATGAACATGTATAGCTTAGTTTTCAGTGTGTTAGCTAGATTATAGCTGCTAGAATGTCATTAACCTGAACCAGGAATTATACTGTGTGTGTGTGTGTGTGTGTGATGTATGTATGTGTGTAAAATTGAGCCCAGGACTGCTTAAGTATATATTCTACCTTTGTGTTACATCTCTCAGCCTATGCTCTTTCAAATTTAAACTTAGCTGCCTTTCTTTTTAATGATACTGTGAAAAACAAATGGTAAATTCATTGACTGTACAAACAGGAGGTTCAAATGCCCTCCTGCTGAATTGTGTGCAAGAAAACCATTGTGTCAATGTTATTCTTAGCATTCTAACTATATCAGGAAAGTCTTGGGGTGCGGCAGTGGGCAGGAGGGATAACTAGGGAACGATGGTGATAAGCATTTTCCAAATTAGGAAACAGATACGCTTTTCTTCTGACTCTCTTACATAACGGAGCTATTTTAGAAGACAACATTAAAAAAAACTGAAATGAAACACAAACCTCCTGACTTTACTACTTCTTTAGCAAAGAATGAAAAAAGGCAGTAATGTTTGCCGGAAGAAAGGAGAGAGCGCTTGAGGCTATTAGACGCCTCTTGTCCAGGGACTGGCTTGCAGGATGCCCTCTTTTTCATTGCAGCCTGCTGAATGAGTCAGAGACCAAAGGCTAGATTTTAGAAAATGAATGAAGCTACTAATTTCTTTCTCCTTTGAGTTTAAGAGGCAGCGGCAGCAAAGGGCATACCCTTTTTGGTGGCAGAGGATGACAGAAGAATGACCCATTACAAAGCCAGTGGTGACTGTGCTGGGTCTCCCTGACTCACGGGGAAGCTGTGCTGCATTCAAAGGCCACAGTGGAAGTACAGCCTCTTACATAAATAAGTTACATAAATGGGCGAGAGCAGGTTATGTAAATGTATAAACCAGCAAACATGAATTATAGCCATTCACAAATGCCTTGCAGGACGGGATGTGACTCCTCCTCCCGCCCCCTCCCCCCAACCTCATCACAATTGTGCCACTGCATTTCATGCCAGCATCAGGTGTACCCGTCACCCTCATTAGGGAAAGAAACTCCAAAGGACACAGGGATTCTTCGATTTTATTTTCTGTAGTACCCACTTTCCTTTTGAGAGAAATTTCATAACAAACATACAGATTTAAGCTGTATCTGGAAAGAAATGCATGTTTATCAATTTGTTATACTTTGTCTAATCATGAATACACATAATGAAATGCTTGCTGGGGCACATTTCAAAAACTGCAGGGGATGCGAATGAAGCATAAAAGTGAACAGCAGGGTGTGTGTGTGTGTGTGTGTGTGTCTGTGAGCATGTGCTATACTGCTTAGATTTTTTAAGTCTTAAGTGAATATCTAAGCATCTAACAAAAGTCATTGTTCTGCTGGAGCTGTGTTTCCATGCTTGGGGGTTTGCCTAGCAGGCAGGAGGTCCTGGCCTCAATCCCAGAGCTATACAAATTAGGTAAACACAATTGCTCTGCCCATTGTGACTTAGATTTAAGATTCTGCTCATGAACGATTCTCTGTGCTCCCCACCACAGATGACGAAGAAGTGCTCTTTGCCTGACTGGAGCTTGCTTCAGATGCAATTTGTGCGTCAATGCTGGAGCAGGAGACTGGGACTGTCCTTAACTCTTCTTCTTCCTATGCCTCTTTGTTCCTGTCCCCTCCGTCTTTTCTGAAGATATAATTTGCTCATTGTGTAGCCGGAAGACACTTTGGACCTTCAACACCTGTTCTGTGTAAACAGGGGTTAGCATCCATAGTTAGCTAATTTCAGACAGCATGACCATCGACTTGCTTTGTCTTGAAAATCGTAAGTAAAATTTTTCGAAGAAAGATAACAGCTTACTAAACATTGTAAATGATACTACCACAGTGAGAAGATGTTAAAATCTCTTTATAAAACTGACTGTGGGGTTTGAGTACAATATATTTCCCTTCCTGTTACCAAGTATCTGAAAAAGACCCAAAAGCCTCAAATCCCTTCCTACATTAACGATCCAGTACCCTATAATCAAATCTATAAATATTTCCATTGAGAGTATTAAACCCGCTGCTGTCACATTTAAAGGAACTAGGACCCATTATATATACGCCAAACGGTCTTCCGTCGACAAAGCTGCAGACTGCTTGCATTGTAGTGATCTGATTTCTGCCATCGGGAAAATATTTTTCCCCGTTTTCTCATTAAAAAGAACTTTAAGTCACTGTGGATTGGTGTGTTTATGTAGGATGTAGAGCACACCTTCGCTTTCTAAGAGCATTCGTGGGCTTGTTTTTATGGTTTAATGGGTTTTAGTGTATTGCACTTTTTAAATTTAAGATCGCACACAAAGTATCGGGCTTCATCGGGACAGTTCATTCCTGTCGTTCGTACTCTTAATGAACTTTCATCTGCACGAACCTAGCACCAGGAAAAACTCCGCGTGCTGGGAGGAAGCAGCCTCAGGACGTGGAGTGAGTGTGAGTGTTCGTGTGTGTGTGTGTGTGTGTGAGTGTGTGAGTGTGTGTGTGTGTGTGTGTGTAAGTCGACCGACTTCAGATTTGAGTCTCAAAGTCACCACACCGTGCATTCATTGTCCCTCTGCTTGTACTTGCCAGCAGTAACCCAGGGCATCCAGAGCCACCCAAGGCTTCCTTCTACCGCCGGGAGGGGTCGAAGTTCCTACTCAGGTGCAAGAGGTTTGGGGTCACAGTACTGCGGGTGCGCAGACGCCCACCATAAAGGCCTGGGGACGGGCCACGGCTATAGGAGGTGTCACCCGGCAGGCCGCCCGGGAGACTACGGGCTTTGTTCAGTCACCAGCCATGCCCTCCTGGTCAGAGAAGCCAATTAGATCCCCGCTGGGGATCATCTGATCTCTCGTCCCTCGCCAGGAGGGGCTCAGAAAGGGCGGGACCGGTGGGCCCGCTCCCGGGAACTGGGCGGCCGGCCGCGTGTCGGGAGGCCGGGCTCGGCAGCCAAGGCCCGCCCCGCTCCGCCTCGCTAGGCCCCGCCCCGCATGTCCAGACCCCGCCCCCGGGGCTCCCCGGGCGCGCGCCGCCCCGCCATGTCCGCGCGCCACGCCCCCCTGCTCGCCGGCCGCGTGCGGAGGAGCCGCGCGCCCCGGAGGTTCCCGGACCGTGGCGGCGGGCGGCGGTGGCGGAGCAGCCCTGCGCGGGCCATGTCTTCTCCGGCCGTGGCGAGGGCGTCCCCGGGCGGGAATCGGGAGGCGGCCGGCGGCCGGCGGAGCGGGAACGGGCCGTGGGAAGTGGGCGGCGGCGAGCGGCTGGAGCGCGCGGGCGCGGAGCCGGGACGCTGGGAGCTGCTGCTCCGCCGGGGCGAGCTGCTGGCGCTGGGCGGCCACCTGAAGGGAGCGCTGGAGGCGTTCGCGGCCGCGCTACGCCGCGGGGCCCCGGCCAGGCCCGAGCGCCTCGGGTCGCTAGTGGACTGCTTGGTGTTCAGCTACCGGCTCCGCCACGGGCTGCGCTGGAGCGCGGCGCCCGCGGCGGGCGCGGCCGGGCTGCTTAGCTGCCTGGGCTGCCGGGGCTTCCTGAGCGAGCCGGTGACCGTGCCGTGCGGCCACAGCTACTGCCGCCGTTGCCTGCGAAGGGAACTGCGCGCCCGCTGCCGCCTGTGCCGGGACCGCCTGCCGCCCGCCGCCGCCGCCGCCGCCGCCGAGGGGACCCCGCGGCCGCCGCCCCTGGCCGCCGCCATCGCCGACTTCCGAACCAGCGTCGTGCTCAACCACCTGGCGGAGAAGTGGTTCCCGGGGCAGCGCGAGCGCGCGCGGGCGGCCGGCCGCCTCGGGGAACTGCTCCACCAAGGGCGCTACAGAGAGGCCCTGGCCGCCGCCTGCGACGCCCTCCGAGCAGGTGACGCGGGGCTGCGGTGCGGGCCGGGCGAGCGGGGATCGCGGGTGTGGGAGGGGGCGGCGCCCCGGGGTGCTTCGGTCACGGTGGGGATCGCCTGGGAGTCGCGAGTGACGCGGCGCGGGGAGGGGCGCGGACGCCAGGTTCCCGCGTGTGCGCGCCGAGAGGGGACCCGGGCCATGGGGTGGGTGGCTGGCTGGGTGGCTGGGTGGCTGGGTGGGTGGGGGCCGCGGGCTTCCCGCTGCGCGCTGTCCGGGAACCCCAGCCAGGGTGGGGGGCGAGCATCCCCCGGACAAGGCAGGGTCCGGGGGTTCCGGGTCTACCTTGGTCTTGCACTAAAGTCACCGGGGCAATTGGAAGCCGCGGGAGGGCAGAATTGCATAAGCTGGGTGGGGGGGCGTTGTGTAACGGGTGACGTTCGGTGGGCGTGGCGGGAGCTCGGCGCGGGCACCGGCACCCGGAGGCCCAGCGGCGGCCGGGCTCGGAGTTGGTGGCCGGCTGTCCCCAAGGTGGTCAACTCTTACCTGAAAGCGTCTGAGGGATCGCTTGCTCCTGGAAAGGCCACCTGCCTGTCTCAGATCCTGCTGCCATAGACCTCTGGGCGTGCTCCCACGTTTCCCCTGGTGTTGGCGGAGAGTTTGCCCTACTCACAGTAGACCTGTAAAGGGAAGCTTTGTCCGTCTTTAGTTTGTGTTTTGGTCTCCAAGAAGCCCCAGCTTTGTCTTCGTCTCCTGGTTAGCGCTTTTCTTAAGATGGCTTTAGGCTGCGAAAAAGGGTCATGCAAACTTAGTAAAACCAAGAGTTCCTCTTTAGATCTTGGCTGTTCTCTACCGGGCTGGAAGGTGGGGATGTGGGGATTACCTCCTGGGGATTCTATACCAGTGGACCTTATCTAGAAAAGCATCTAGAGACATCTTTGGATGGTCATCCCTTGTGGGGGTCATGTCAGTACAGACATCTAGTAGCCCTTCCAAGGACACTGCTAAACATTCTGAAACTCCTCCTAATACATGAAAGAAGAATCAGGCCCGGATGGCAACAGTGTCATGATCACCTGATGCTGGGCTTGCTTTGTGTCTGTTGCCTGCCATGAGAAATTACTTAGGGAACAGTCCCCAGGAAATCGGTGACACTGGAAATATGAACTGATTTTGAGGCTAGAGTTAAGTTATAGTTGTCATAGAAAGTATCATCTTGTGAGTCTTTTAGTCATGTTGAGCAAGTGACAGTAGCTTCAATCGTACCCCTGGAGTTCAGAGCACAAATGCGTCACGTTTTCATTTTCTCCCAGTATTTTGGTGAGGAGCAGAACAAAAGAAAGCTTTGGAATCCACAGTTCTGTGGGGGTGACTCAAGTTCTCTGGGCGAATCAAGTCGAGTGGGGAAGCTGGACTCGGCCGCCCCAGTCATAGGCTGTGGTCTGACCTTAACCAAGAAGCAGAGCTAGGACACGCGACTTGTCCATCTCCTGGGTGGTGGCTTGTCTAGGCAGCTCAGACCCTCCACTTTTATATGTTGACCTAGGATTCATCTGTCTCTGTAGTTCATCTAACAGAAATTTTAATGGATATTTTCAAGGAAAGTTTTTTTTTGTCATCAGTATGTAATCTTGAATGAAACTTGAAGCAGTATTTGTTATTAACATCTGATGTAGTTATTTGATCTGATTGATTACATTAATTCAGGTGATGTTATGGAAGAATAGTGAGTTCGATTCCTAAGGTAGAACTCACTTAACATCCTGAGCACAGTCTTAAGATTCTAGAGCTTAGACCAAGATGGTATCTTTAATAGAAAAGCTGTGAATAATGAACTCTTGTTTCCAAGCTTTGCAGACTACATGTAGGATTTGTCTACAAGCTACAAAACCACACTTTTGCAGGACTAGAACCCAGGTCTCTTGCCTTTCACTTTGTTAGCGTATTCATTTTTTTCTTATACGTAGGCTTGTCAAAAATCAGTAGTTCTACACCTGAATAAGTATCTCAATGATACTGGTGAGAATAATATTTTTATCTTTTGAGTTCTTTGTGTGAGATAAAGGGAGGACAATCAGACAAAACATATTTTAGTTGGCAGATGGCAAATTTATGTTTCACAACTTATGGGCACTAATAAGAGTAGGCATATAGTTCGGGGTAGAGTACCTGCCTGGCATATGTAATATTCAGCTTTGCATTCCTAGCCTTCAAAACAAACAGCCCACCACAATTTGCTAGCTGCTAACCTCATAAATCCATCTGTACAGTTGTCAGAGTTAACTTTTTTGGGAGTTGGTGAGTTAGCTCGGTAAGCATTTGAAATACATTTATAATTGTCCAACTATAGTTATTAACGGTACTGTCAGCATTGATAATGAAAAATATCCTTTGCTGTAATTTTTCTTGTTTCTTAGAATGAAACAAATACTATTAGAAAAAATAATCGAGTCTGGAGTTGGCCCACACACAACCAAACTTATCCTTGTCGACAGAAAAAGAAAGCTTGGAAACCCTTGCCAAAATCAGAAGTCCCATTGAGATTACATAAGGTTCTGTTGCATTGAAATATATTTAGATAACATTTAATCCATTGATCTTTTGGTATTAACTCTGAGATGTTTCGTAACTTCTTCTTAGTATTCAGGGAGCTTATGTAAAAGTCTTTCCTGCATTGAATCTTTATACTCGGGTCTTTCGAACTGATCCCACTGTGGAGCACTGCTGTCTTTTCATTTGGGGTTTTTACACTGACCTCCCCTCTGTCCTGTGTCCCCCACTCTCCAAAAGAAAACAGCAGAGCTGTGTAATTGACAATTTGAACCGGCTTCTGTAAAAGTCAGGTGTGTGTGTGTGTGTGCACCATGCGCGCGAGCATGCGCGCGCGCGCACACAGGTGCTTTTATTTAAATTGTGTAAGGAAAGGGGGCATTTTTCATTTGTTGATGTTTTCATGTATTTACTTTATTACATGTGCACACACATACATGCTATGGTGTGCATGCGTTTTTTGATGTTTTCATGTATTTACTTTATTGCATGTGCACACACACACATGCCACAGTGTGCGTGCGGAAACCAGAGGACAGCTTGTGGGAATTGCTTTTCCTCTTCGGTGTTGGACCTGGGAATGGGCCGGCAGCAAATGCCTTTGCTGATGAGCTATCTCACCTGCCCAGATTTTTGTCTTTAGTATTAATTATATAGTTCTTGACTCTCTGTAGTTTTATACGTATGAATGGGTCCTCCAGGGAACCTTCAGACGGAAGGTGAGGCCTCTGTAGCTAGAGATGTTTTACGACGAGTGACAAAGCTCTAGAGAGACACCTACCAGAGTCTCGGTACAGCCTCCACCTACTGTGGGACCTGGGCATGGGGCCTGCCCTCTCTGTGCTCTGGTCTCTTCCACAGAGGGCTGCTGTGAGAATTAAATGAGTGAAAACATGTGAACTGCTTCAAAAAAGAGCCTCACACAGTAAATTCCCAGAAACCATAGTCTTACAACATGCATGCTTTGTTATGGTTAGGTGAATTAGCTGAAACTGAAATCCAAGCCTTGTGGTTTCAAGCTCAATTCTAGTTTCTATATACATTATTACCAAATAAAGGTTAAATCCTGATTGTAGATTATACATATCAGTAGCAGCCTGCTATATCAGTTTGAGGAAAAAATGATACTATGAAGTTTTAGTTATAAAAAGATTGGTGAAAGCAAATACATTCTGGATATGTTTAAAGAAGACTGTAAAGGGTTTTGCAATCTTCCATAACTCAGCCAGTATAAAGTGATTTCATTTTAATTTACTCCGAACATATTTATATCCTCACTGCACAAAGAACTTAACACAGGCAGATACATGCTTCTTATAGTTCACAGAATATTTTCTTTTCTATCATCTTAGCTGAACCCCACAAAATCCATGCCAGTTGAAAGGCAAGCATCAGTGTTTCTGGTTAGTGGGCTGAGGAAGAAAAGCCCAATGGTTTCAGATGGCTTCTAGTCAAATAACATCTAAGCACAAAGCAGGTGACTGGCCTCTGAAAATGGAATAGGTTTAAGTATTAGCATATAAGGAATATTAGCTCATACTATTCACTCAACAAATATTTACTGAGTATCTTCGATATGTCAGGAACATATGCTATTTGTTTTAGGTTCTGGGAATACAATAAAGAACAAAATAAAGTCCCTGTCATTACAGAGTTTGTATTACTGTTTTTTTTTTACTTGTAGCAAAATGATATGTATTCAAAAATATTTTAAAATTTGAATTTGTTAATTATTGACTTCTAATGAATTGATACTAAAGTCATTTAGTTACTAAGGGGCTTGAAAGGTCTTGTGTCACTAAAAAGAGTGATTATGTAATAACAGTCTTTTGTTATGGAAGATGGAAAGGCCTGCTCCTATAAATACCTTTTATGTGTCCTGTTTTAAATAAGTACCTGTCTTTTATTCATCAAGTAATACAAAGTGTATGAAAATGTAGTTACCTTAGATTTATTACTTGCACAGTAACTTTTTGTTTAAAATTGTTTCTATTTAGTTTAAATTATCAGTTTTTATTTTTTTATTTGTGTGTAAATGCATGTATCTATGTATATGTATCACTTATGTACCTGTGCCTGCAGAGACCAGAAGGGATGTCAGGTACCCTGGAACTGGAGTTACAGGCAATTGTAAGCTTCCCAGCATGGGTGCTGGGAATTGAACTTGGGTCCTCTGCAAAAGTAGCAAGTGCTCTTAACTCAGCCTCAGTAACATTTTAGGTAACATTGTCTAGTTTTCCATTTCTGTTCTTATCCCGTGTTTCTCAGAATTGGAGTTAGTTGTGGCAGAAGATGACTTCCCTCAGAGCACTCTATTATGCAAGACTGAAGCTTTCTTCAACCCCTCTTTTCCCCCAGCTCACTTGGGTCAGCTGCAGGGTCCAGTCTACGTGTCAAAAGATGTTTCTCACCTAGTCTAAGACTGATGTGGGTGAATGCAAGGTGAAGCATCCTCTTGTAAACACTGTCAAGAGTTAACAGGATGCCTTACTACATTCTGAAATTGTTGCAGTGTTATCAACAATGTTGTCACTGCTCCAGTACTTGTGTGTCAGGGCCATCTAGGTTTCTTTTTAACCTACACATGCTATTTTATTCAGTTTTTGAGCAACTTTAAGATACACTTTGGGTTTGTTTGTGTGTTTGTTTGTTTGGAGACAGGCTTTCTCTGTGTAACAGCCCTAGCTATCCTGGAACTGGCATTGTAGACTAAGCTGGCCTCCAACTCCCAGAGATCCTCCTGCACCAGAACATGCTTAACCATTTCAACTTGAAAGTTTTCTCTCAAGCTCTCCAAAATGATATATTGGCAAGAGATTTCTTTCAGTATAACGGATAACATATTTAAAACACTTACAGTACAGCTAATCTATACAATTCACCCATCCCAAGCTGTCTGAATTAAGAATTGTAGCACTTTCTATTATGTAAACCTTTCCTCTTCATAAAAGCCCCAGATGAGGCTGGGAAAGTGAATCAGTATGTACAGTGCTTGCTATACAAGCAGGGAGACGCGAGTTCTGTGCCCAGCACACATGGAGAAGGCTGAGCACATAGCTTATGCCTGTAATCTCGACTTTGGAGGAAGAAGGAGACTCCTTTGTGTTTGCTGGCCAGCCAGTCTAGCTGAATTGCTGAGCTCTAGGTTCAGTGTGAAATTGTCATAACAGATGGATGGACGGACAGAAGGACAGAAGGGAACGGACGGATGGATTAAACTACAACCACA